CAAGAGGCCATAAGAGATCTTGTGAAGAATAACAGCAAGAAATTTGACCAGAAAGCAAAAGAGAGAATGGAGAAAATCGAAAGGGAACTAAAACCAATGTTACCCCCAGTGTCTGAGGAGAAAATGAAAGAGATGAAAGAAATAACAGAATCTGCATTTAAAGAAATGAGTCAGGAGGATGAGGATCAGTTTGCATGAAGATTCTATTACAGCATGAATAACTTAAAAATAACTACAGAACACATATAATTGAATAACATACACACACAGGTGCACACAATATTAATACTAGAAACATTTTCTGTGCATTTTCTCTTGTTTTGCTTCATTGGAAACTATTAATCAATAACTTTTTGCATTATGTAGGTCACATTCTCTTTTGCTGCTTCTAAGTTTATCACTAGAAAGCATTACAAGTAAAATCTCTAGGGATTTAAACTGTCAATACAGGTGGTGAAAGAAAACACATTGTACAATAACATGTGTAGAATATCTTTTTCTAGTTAAAGTGGCAGGATTGAAGACACGCTGAGTCTGTGACACCAAGCAAGATCAACACAGAATCTGAAGTCCAGGTGTGGAGATTCACTTACAGGAGAGACCTGGAGTCAGACTGACCTCACCATCAAAGGTCAAGGAAGATGAAGAAGACGACAAACCAGGGGTCTCACCAAAGATCACGTCCATCTCACAGCTCTGGGTCGTGTTTGTTTGCATGTTTGCCCACTTTGTCAGGTTCGAGCTCTGCAGAGACACGCAGCTGCGAGTCAAACAGAGTAGCAGGTCTGAGGGAGCAGGAATAAGTAGCAGAGTAATGAGGATGCAGCTTTGCTGACTGACTGTACTGCACTGGGGGGGGGGTCACCTCCCTGAAATGCTGTATAATAAACAAAACATGTATTACAGTTTAAATGGGATTCACATCTTTGTACACGATTACACAATGTTTAAATTTGATGTTTGGAATATGTTTACCTTTTTTGCTCAAATTAGGTTGTAGCCGTTGATCTAAATCTTGCTGTCATTAAATCACACAAATCATTATATATGTGTATTAAATACTGTGTTGATCCTGGTGTTTGTGAAATGGAGATAAAGCTTTAAAAATCAATGCCTCTCAACTTCATCCTCCTTGAGTGTCTAGAGGACCCTGAGCATGTCTTAGCTCTCAAGCTATCAGGCATTAAAACAGTAATTGCCAGTAGTTCATTGCTTATTGTGCTCTACTGTACCACAGCCTTAACTTGCTAACAAATTTGTTTTAACCTCCCACAATTTAATACCATTTATTAATTAGACAAACCTAAAAACTTGGGTATTTTCGATCCACAAACAGGCTAGTTCATTAGTACATTCCTGTTTCATATACTGGTCGATCTTCTTTCAGAAAATCTTCAGTGAACATACAGTATGTTGGTTTATGCATTCATTTATGCAACGAAACAAAAAAACCAATTAAAACCATCATAATGCACAGTCATGGTTGGGAGGGTTACTTTAGAAATGTATCCCAGTACAATTAATAAAAATACCTGATTACTTTGTTACTTTTGGCACAATGCCAAATTTGCATACAAACAAGAGAAAAGAAATGGCAAAAGATGACTTACTTCTGTAAGTACAAACAGAACAAAGTGAGAAAACATTAAGAAAGAAAATCTCTTTGAGGCACTCAACAAAAAAATGTCTCAGTAGATGTCATAAGAGCACCCTTATTTTCTTAACAAAACAGACAGCATACATACTTTTAACAGCCTTTTCATTACTTAAACCTATTTTTTATTTAATGTGTTTTTATTCACCCACTAGGTTGCTGTGTTTCCCATCAATTTCACACGCAAAGAATTATTGTAAAAACAGACATGAGGTAGCTAGCTAACTAGCCTGCATAACATTCGATTATTTCGTTTTTGTATATATACATATATCACTCAGCAATTAAGGGGCTGTGGTGGTCTAACGGTTAAAGAAATGCACCAAAAATTTAAAGATTGCTGGTTCAAATCCCCGACCAGCAAGGCACCACTGAGGTACCCTGAGCAAGGTACCGCCCCCCAGCACTGCTCCCCGGGCGCTGAATTAGCTGCCCCCTGCCATGTCATATTGTCACATATGGGTTAAATGCAGAGGACACATTTCGTTGTTGTGTGCTGTGGTGTGTCATCAATGATCACTTAATTGTAAATTCCATGAAGTTCTGTGACCGATCCCCCCCAAATGTTTTTGGAAAGCCAGCTACTACCTTCCACAGAACATAGTGGTGCCTCTGATTACAGGGTACATACAGTACATTCACTCACAGTTATGCCCTGTGGGCAGTTTAGAGGGGCAGCCTGCTGGCACAGCTGGTGTTTCTGGCCCGGATCTGCGTGTGCATGTTCTCATGTTCTCATGTTCTCCCCCTGCGGTTTCCTCCAGTTTCTTTGGTTTCCCCCACAGTCCAAAAACATGCTAAGATGAACTCAAGTTGCCACATCGTGTGCATGTGTGCCTGACATGGGTAGGCGCCTGTTATTCTCGGGCTTGTGTTCGTAACCCGGGGAGAACATGCCCCACGCAGCAGAGGGAGGATTCACACCCATGACCATGGAGGTGTGAAGCATCAGTGCCCCCCCCCCCCCAGGCACTGTGCTGTTTTATTATTAAATTCCACAGTATAGGAGGAGGGCCTGGATGCCTCAGGGGAGGGTGAAACCGAACGACGAGGCCTTTCTTCACCTACAATAACAAAGTCTTTTTTTCTCGTTTACTAACAGAGAGGCCTAATCATGTCCTTCAGCTCTTGTCCACCACTTAAGCTTAGTCGGCTATCTTGCATTCCTGCTTCAGCCCTATTGCAGTTAAAGTCTCAAAATGTTTATTAAAGCCCCTGTTTCATCCCCCCAACCATAGGTCATGTGATTCTGTTAATCATCCAATGGAAATCTCTCAGTGTCATAAAGCAAAGTGGACATCAAAAGCAATGGACTTGTATCAATGAGCTCTGAGTTGTGCTTACTTACACGTTAATGTTTACATACAGCCACATGCTGTTAAAAACCAAATGGTGTAAAACGGGGACAACAGCCTGGCTCCTTTTATTAGTATCTCTGGATTTCCCCAATTTTGTATTATACTTTTTAAGAATAATAATAATTTAAAAATCCTGATCTATTAACCTGTCCGATCGTATTGTAAAGCCCTCAGAAATAATATAATATGGTCGATCAAAAACTTAATTTGTATGTTTTGGGTCCTCAAGCAGCAGTGGCCTGTACTACGAAGCGGGGTTACGGGCTTATCGGGGTAACTTGTCGGATTTAAGGTACTACAGTCAAGATGGACTTCATATTCGTTCATTTACATTTTTCCCAGACTACCTTAAATCCGACAAGTTACCCCGATAAGCCCGTAACCCCGCTTCGTAGTACAGGACACAGATCTACTTCATACTACTCAGCACAGTGTGCGAGGGCGGGAGCGAGAGCACCGAGTACCGGGTTTGTCCTTCTGGGCATCTGGTGGTCACTAGCTACTTTACAAAAATAACTGGACGAGGAGTTAACTCCTGTGGATGAGGAGTTAACTCCTGTGGACAAGGAGTTATCTCCTGCAGCCATAGGAGCTTCACCAGCAGGCTCAGGTTGGTCCAGAAGACAGCTCGCTAGCTAGCTAGTGTAGCTCAGTGGTTCCAAACCTTTCTGCAACAAGGCTCCCCAGTATAGGAAAACAATCACTTCCGAGGTGGACCTTTACATGAGGAACATCATAAGGCACCTGGCCAGCTCCCACTGTGCTAAGGCAAAGTTTGGGAAACACTGGTAGCAGAAATGTATCAGAATACGAAGAGGTTATTCAGAAATGCATAAAACAATGCATTGTAAACATATTTTTTTCTACCCAAAGTTTCTCTTCATTGTTCAGTAAAGGTCAGCTCCATGACTGACATGTCTGTGCTCCTTCAAATCAATTCATATCATTATGAACGGACACAAGATACAAATGCCCATTCTGTTTAAAACATTTAATTTACTACAAATTTATTTAAGAGTGTTCACCATATTCTGTAGCCGACCCTCTAAGCAAGAGCATAACAGGCAGGGGGCTGAGAGCTGTAATTTCCTGGCTGTCAGTCTGAGAATCTCGCATGGAGGAGGAGGAGGAGGAGTAACAGGCAGGGGGCTGAGAGCTGTAATTTCCTGGCTGTCAGTCTGAGAATCTCGCATGGAGGAGGAGGAGGAGATGGAGGAGGGGGGGGGAGAAGGAGGAGGTGTCATGTGCAGATTTCATTCAAACCCGTAAGCCTAAACATCACTTGTCATGTTTAGCTGTAAGTGTTAATTCCTTCCATCAAAAAAACAGTCGAAATAATGAAAAAAAAAACATTGCAATCAATATTCATCCATTTAAAATGTAACATTTTGTATATATCTGCTCATGGAGAAAATGTGTAATAGACTGTTTTGATTAATAAAGTGTCATAATAAGCATTGGCAACTGGGCTACTGATTCATCAATGGTAATGCTCAGTTTATTCTGGGTTTTACTCTCACTGTCATAAATAAAAAATAGTAATTAGGCTGATTGGGGAGTCAGATTGCCCTCATTTTCTGTACTTTGATTTGATGTTGTGAAAGTCAGTCTGTGCAACTGCCTGGAATCTTTTAGTAGAGTATCTCATATGTTATCATATGTTTGTTTTACTCTGAAATAACTTGAAAATGGTGCAATTATCGGGGGAAAATCTAAAGATCTCTTAGTCCCCGATGTTTCAAGACCATAATAAACGCCCCAGACGTAAAGATAAAAAACATTTATTATTGGGTGATTTTTGTTACTTTTTTGTACAAGATCAGAGGCGGAACAGGGCACATATAACCATGCACTGACCTTAAGAAGAAGGGATTTGAACCCCTGAAGTCCGCGTCAGAGTATGTTTCCCCAGTCCGGTCATTGACATCGTTTGTGTTCCCAAGTGTATTTCATCCTGAATAAACCCCGTGTTTCCCCCCGTCTCCTGTGCTGCTTCCCCGGCTCCGTGCCAGCTTGCTAAGACATGCACAAGCATCACGATATTTCTGTTAAAAGAATATAGTTTCCAGGGATATTTTAATGCACTGGCCTATGTATGCTGATGTCCAAAGACTCCCATTAAAAAGAGACCTCCCCATTAAAAAGAGGCTTCCCTGATAAAAAGAGGCCTCTCCTCTATAAAGAGGCTTCCCTGATAAAAAGAGGCCTCTCCTCTATAAAGATGCCTCCCTGATAAAAAGAGGCCTCTCCTCTATAAAGAGGCGTCCCCAAAAAATGAGGCCACCCTGCTA